TTGGACTTTTGTAGTAGCCTCTGAAACTGTATCCCCAAATCTGTTCCTCCTTCTAATGTCTTTATCTGTTTTATTGTTGCTGCCTCTGAGATGGAATTTCTAAAACCTATATTTAATCATAAACTTCTCTTTTGAAATTCTTTCATGGTTTCCATTAGTTTGAAAAAAAGGTTGACTTATGCTGTCCTCTGTCTGACCCTTATCCATGTTTTATCTGTTGGTATTTTTCCTAAAAAATATTGCCTTCCAGTTAGACATATTCTTGCCTTTGTATACATTTCTACCAAGAATTACTTTCACCTGATCTTTTCTTCTTAGTCAATTCATATATATCACAAAGACATTTTAGACTTCTTCTGCTCTGTGAAACCCTACAGAGACAGTTATTCTTTGACTAGGGCATAACATTTTATATTTTTCTTTTTGATTACTCATAGGCATGAAACAACACTTGTTCTCTTTATATTCTCATTATAATGAATGTCAGTAAGTGAATCTGAGAGGGAAGGAAGGTATTACAATGTGTGGGGATTCAATAGAGCTATACTATCCTTTATTTATCTACCTCAGACAAAGTGAAGAGTGATATGTTTAATGGGGAACCTGGCTATTGCTTACTGTAGGGCTCAGACAGGTGGAATCTTGAGAAGTGATACTATTGGTTACAAGGAAAACTGGTGGAGAGAAAAGGTCAAGTTCCATCTGTCAATTAATTAGCAAGTATAAGAGAGATTCCTGGTACAAATCTCATTGATAGTTAACTTACTATAACCAGGGTAACATATCTTCAGTATATAACATGCCATATTATAAATATGCATTCTTTGATAATCCCTTAATAACAACAAGAGATTTTTGAACTGTGACCTGGAGGAATGAAATTGCTTTTAAAGTGTTAAGAGTCTCTACTGACAAAGAAAGATGTGATTTGCATTAGTAGTTTGGAATTTTGTAAGTGACGCCTCCTATATACACTGAGAAGCTTCTATCTGGTAATCCAGTGAGTTCTATGTTTGATTTTTTGAGTATAAAGCTGAGAGGGAATTTTGTTTTGCTTTTTTGCAGCTGGAAACAATGTGGAGGTAGATGAGTCTTTGTTCCAGGAAATGGATGACTTAGAGCTGGAGGATGATGAAGATGACCCAGACTACAATCCTGCTGACCCAGGGAGTGACTCAGCAGACTGATGGACTGTCCCCATCTGCAGAGAAGTTGACTGCCACAGCATCTGTGGCTATGCTGAGAGGGTTTTGATTTTCCTTTCTTTTTTTCTAAGAAAAAAAAATAATTTTCAGGAGAATATTCTTCTGATCACTTTCATCACTGACTTAATAAACTGACCTTAAAGTTTCAAATATAGAATGTTCATGTCTTCTAATTGATGAGCAGAAGATTACATATTTAAAGGTATTTAGTGTTGAAGAGAGATCCTTCCAATAACACCAAGACTTGAGGGTAGGCTGTGGCATGTGAGGGTTCATACACGAAGAATCAGAATAACTCAGAATTTCTCTGCTTGTGATCCTTGTTTCTTTGGTTTCTAATGTTATCATTTGTATTAGAAGGTTAAGACAAATACAGAATTAATCCTAGATCCTTCTGACACAATAAATTTAAGTCTTAATAAACCAGGACCCATAAAAAAACCCAGGAAAAAAATGGATTTCATTATAATAGTAGTATTGGAGTCAGATTTTGTGGTATTTTTAAGAGATGTTTATTCTTAGGTCACTTCTCAGGTAAGACTTTGTAAGTCCCAGTCTGCATTTTTAAACAGTGAAATTGCATACCAGTTCTACAGGTGATTCTGATGCATACTCCTGATTGAACTACCATCTTGCAATTGTGACATCTGTATGTTTTAGTGTTTCCCTGCTGCTTTCTAATTAGCCAGTCTGAAGTGGTCTAAATTATAAGAGTTATATACTGTGTGCAAGGGGAACACACATCAATCTCCATATATGTGTAAGACTATCTTTGTATTAATTTGAAATGATTGACATAAGGGTACCTGATGGGAGAGCCAGGCTTCATGTGAGTTTTCCAGTCTTTGAAGCCATGGAAGATTAATCCAAATCCAGTGAGAAATCACTTGTGCTGTTGCAAAGAGCTGCCTTTAGAAAAAAAAGACACATGCCACATACCTGCAAACAAAACTATATCAATGCCACATTGACTTTTGGACTTTCGTTATTAAAAGCCAAATTATCACTGAGTAATTTATTACTTTTTTAAGGAAACTTGAGGTCAGTCTTG